CTGCAAATCGAAGAAAAGTTTGATTTTGAAAATCCAATTATCTGGGTTTGTACCATCAAATAATGGAATCTCCATCTTCACAAACTTCAGCAACGTTCTTGGATCCACCATATCCTTATTTCCTCTATCAATAAGAGAATTACCCCCTTCGGACGACATGGTTTGCATCAGTTGTTCGTGATGATGTTCCTGGGAACTTCGCGGACGCATTTGCAAATTCAGCATGGAATCATTCATTTTCTGCATCTGAGCCACCAGTAGTGCAATTTGATTCTGAGATTCTTCCAAACGTTTCTGCCATGATGTTACTTCATCAGCAACTTGCTGAACCCTCATCGTGAGATCAAGAATGAAAGCACCAATGTTGCACTCTACCTGAGCGACATGTTAAAGTGAACGAACGAAAAAGAGAGAAATTGGAACTGAACTTCAATTTTATTCAAGATGATTCTTTTACACTGATTGTTTTCCTTTTATAACAACTAACTAACTTCTCCCTTACATGGCTGACACGTGTTCACTATTCCCTTGCACCACACATGTGGGCCTAGTCCCACTGTTATGTACCTAAACAATACTATAAACTCACTAACAATAGTGATCCCTCAATCTAGATGATGGAACCCTTTCCCTACGTACTGGTGTATCTGCATTCGTAACATTGGACATGTTCAATGAATTTGAGATTGAATCATTATCATCTAAGAAATTGGCAAGGACAACGTAGGTTTTGGAAGGGTTGCTATAGACAAAAGTGCTTTTGGACCATTTGGTCTTTTGGCTATTTAGGTGACACACTTTCTGAACAAACTCCAATTTATTTCCAATTTTCTAATACTAGCCTTGGTAGTTCAACCACTTTCTTCTTATGTTGATGAAACAATGTAAGAATTTGCATTTGTTGATTCATATTTTTCTCCTTTTAAAGAAGAAAAATAAAATAAAAAAGTGAAAATCAATTGTATGTGATTATGAGTAAATGAGTTATTGGATGCTACAGATCATCCAAGGCTCCTGATGTTGCAAAGCCAGTTTATGGAAGAAAATTTGCAATATTCGGTGATGAAAAATTTTCAATTAGGGTATTGGTAAGTTTTAATAACTTTACTTTTTGTTTCTCTTTTCACTAAGTTCAGTTGTTGTACCACTAGGGAATAACCCTACTCATTCACTCAGTTTAATTGGTTTTGATACAAAACCTTTTAAGTTTAAAGTGCATCATTGGCAGCGTGGAATTACAATCCCTTAACTCTCTTAGGCTGAATATGTTGTTAACTCATCAGTAAAAGAGAGAAAGCTTGTTACGAAAAATAGTTAAGGCAAGCAATTGAAAAAGGGAAAATAAGGAATAGGTGAGACATTTGGAAATTGGGACTGTGAATTAATCTAGGCTAAGAGAGCACGAGAGCACTCTCGAACTTGTTCTGGGTTTGTCTTTCATTTCGTTCAATTTTTCTATTCATTGTAATGTCATCTGTTATGTTTCAATCTACATAGTCGAGAGAAACTTTATTGTAATCTTTTATCATCAATGCAAGTTGCTACAATGTTTCTTGGAAATGTTGGTTTCTAGGTATCAGAGCTTCCAATATAGGAGCCCTGTGAACCAAGGGTAGCATGATGGTTGCCCGAGACAAGAACGAATTATCCTTGTACATGATGCAAGGCAAAATTAATGTTGGAGAAGCCAACACAATCCAAGATAGGTGCAACATAGAGTTGTGGCACAAGCGCTTTCGCCATATGAGCAAGAAATAACTCCAAATATTGATAAAGATAGGTTTGTTGCCTGGGTTAAAGGGTCAACTTTTGGAGAGTTGCACTCATTGCTTAGATGAAAAGCAATGCAAGATTTCCTTCATAAGGTCGGACCAACCCAAGAAACGCAGATACATTCTAGACCTCGTTCACTCCAGCGTTTGTTCCATGTCAAAAAGATTGTTTGGTGGGGCTTATTATTTTTTTATTGGTGACCATTCCTGTGAAGACCGGGTATATTGGTTGAATATTAAGGACCAAGTACTCCAAATCTTCAAAGAAATTCATGCCATGGTTGAGAGAGAGACCGGTAAGAAGCTGAAGGCAGTCTTATCTAACAACGCAGGAGAATACTATGATCCTTTTGATGAATATTGTAGGTCAACGGGAATAAGATTGGAAAAGACACCACCCAATACTTCACAATTGAATGGAGTAGCTGAGAGAATGAACATAACTATTGAAGAACGAGTTAGAGGTATGCTTTCTCATTTTGGGTTGCCAAAATCTTTCTGGGGTTAGAACTATCGTCAATCTGGAAGAAGAAATCTACATGGAGCAACTTGAAAGGTTCTAGGCTCCTGGAAAAGAAAATATGGTCTGTCGTTTAAAGAAAATCTTTTATGGCTTAAAATATGCTCATCGGCAATGGTACAAGAAGTTTGAATCCTTCATGACACAACTGAAGTTCATGAAGATGGAGGTTGACCATTGCGTGTTCGCTAAAAGGTATGAGGCCAGAAGTTTTCTGATTTTCTTTTATATGTTGACAATATGCTAATTATAGGGAAAGACAAATTGAAGATAGCCACTCAGAAGAAGGCATTGAGCACGTCCTTCGCAATGAAGAATCTTAGCCTTGCAAAGCAAATACTGAGAATCAAGACCATAAGAGATCGTCAAAGGAAGATGTTGTGGCTTTCACAAGAGAAGTACATAGAAAAGATCTTGAAAAGATTCAATATGGATAAAGTCAAGACAATAAACAACACCTTAGTCAGACACATAAAGCTAAGTCAACAACAATATCCAAGGTTTGATGAAGAGAAGGACAAAATGTTGAAAATATCATACCAGTCCACGGTCAAAAGTTTGATGTATGATATGGTATGTAAAAGACTCGACTATGCGTATGTTGTTGGACTGGTAAGTTGGTTTATCACAAATCCTGCAAAGAACACTGGTAAGCAGTAAAGTGGATTTTTAAGTACCTTAAAGGGACAAGAATTTTATGCCTTCGATAAGGCCAAGCTCGAAGGTTTTGTGGATTCTAAATAAGAGGGAGATACAGATTCCAAGAAGTCTACCATAAGCTACCTGATCGATCACCTAAGTAAGCAGAGCTTTTTCTTGGCAATCAAGACTTCAAAAATGTGTTTCATTCTTGACGATCAGACGAGTATATAGCTGCAACTGAAGTGAGCAAGGAGATGATGTGAATAAAGAAGTTCCTCCTTGAGTTCGGCCATAAACAAAACAAGTACAACCTGAAGTGTGATAATCAGAGTGTGATACACTCAACGAAAAATTCTACCTATCACTTTAGCTTAAAACATTTTGGTATGAGATATCATTGGATCCAGTATGTGTTAAAGGAAAATCATCTTCAACTTGTTAAATTGTACATCGACCTGAACTAACATAATGATGAAGCCGATGTCCTCAAGAAAATTTGAAAAATGCTGCAAAGGTGCGGGATGATGAACCCGATGAATTGAGGTTGGAAGGGAGAGACTTGTTGGGGGTATGTTCCTCTTTCAATGCTTTGGTGGTTGAGCATGCAAGACAGTTAATGCGCATGACCAAATGCCCTAACAATCCCGATAAATGTGAAGATTCTGGAAAGAGATGAATTCATTAGTGAAAGGTTAGCTAATGAGTGTATTCCTTTGTAAGAGAAGATGGGGGCGTGCAATCTCTTTTAGAAAAAATCTTTGTATTCCACTTATGCGAGGTGAAGAAATCAAGATTACCTCTAGTGCTTACTAAGGAAGACCCTTTTGTAATCTCATTATTCGTGAAAGTTCCTCTGAACTAGTTTACCATAATAAGCTACAAATCACTCAAATATTTCAAAAGAAACAAATCATTTGTGTTTGAGAGTAAAAAAAAAAGACATTAATTTATGAAAACAAATTAGTTTTTTTTTTTTTTTTTTATAGATCAGGTCACCGATTTTTACGAAAACCGGCTGGGTTACACCAATTCTGTAACATGGCCGGTCCAATATGAAAACTAGACCGGTTCATCGATTTTCGGGTCGACTCGGCCGGGTCGGTCCGATTTTTATAACATTGGGTTAAATAGATGGATAGAGGAACTGGAATTGAGAGCATATGTCTGATCCTTCCTAGTAATGTCTTTAGGAAAGATTTAAAGCCTTAATCTCGGGATCGCCCCAAATCGGACTAATCACGAAATGATAAACCGATTGGAATATCTCCACACACAAAAAAGAAATTGGGTTCGATTCTCAGTAAAGACAAGGAAGGCAAGTAGCTTTAACTTCTAAGCTCTCACTCGGATTAATCTCATGGCCCAAAAAATCAAAGCTGATTGAGATAATGAAGTGTGTGACCTCAAAGAGATAATTAGGATCGATATATTTAAAAAAAGTTATTTTTAAAACGATGATGATTGATAGCAACCTATGAAGCACCGACACTTCAAAAATCTTCATGTATCGTGTCCGACATTTCTCGACACTCTGACACTCCCTGACACTCTAACATGCATTATAGAAATTCAAAAAAAGGTTCAAATGTTGGATTGCGTTGAGTTTTTAGTTCCAACTTTTAGATTTATTGAATTATGATTACCATTTTATTGAGTTTAATATAAATATTCGGGATATCTTATATTTCTTTGCAGAATTGATGAATATTATAAGTTTAGTTTCATTTTTTTGTTAAATTATTGAATATTAAATATAATATACACTACATAAATTAAAAATATTATTTAATATCAAAACGTGTCCTAACATGTCGAAATCTAACATTTTTTAAAATTAACGTGTCGGAATATCGTGTCGTATCGTGTCACGTGTACTATCGATGCTACATAGATAGCAACACACGTAAAATTCTTAACGTTACGTTTTCAACAAAAAAAATAAAAATAAAAAATCTGGACAATAAACATCAAGTAACTTCTTTAATTCGTACATAAAAGAAATCAAGAGAATAAATGAACAATCAACTGAAAAAAGAAAATCACAAAAAAAATAAATATAAACGTACCGTCAGGATCTGAAGCGAATTCCACCAAACATCCGCACGAAACAGGAACCCCAATAGGTCATTGAGACATTGTTGATTAGCCTCTCATGATCATTTGTAATTAATAATATAAAATCAAAAGAAACAAAATAAAATAAAAAACTAAATTGAAATAAAGTGTTTTGAAAGCTAATCATGGATGTAGCAGTATGATAGTTACACACAAAAGATGTTGAAGAAGAAGAGAACAGAGGAAGAACAATATAAAGAAGAAGAGAAAATTACACAGTAAAAGGGAAAGAGAGAGAAAGAGTTATCTTGTAATTTTGTCACATACTTTTCATTTCTTAATTTTTCTATTTAACATAAAGTTAAACCTATCAAATGACCACTGTTGCCTTAATAAATTAATCGAAAATAATAATAAAAATTTCTCAAATAAAATATAAAAAATTCTAACAGATTATAAAGAAGATTCGGTAACTTATAAAGCAAGTAAAATACTTCTGTTACCACTCACCTATCATTTACTGAAGTTACTGGGAAAAAAAGTTGGATAGAAGAGAGGAAGAAAAATAAAAAACATATAGTAAATATAAATGGGACGGTTATATTGTCTATTTTTTTAATTTTTATTATCTTTTTATTATTGTTAGATTAAATTTAAATCAACGGTTTCAAACACATTTGTTTTTATATTTTGTTCCTCTCTTTTAATTTTCTCAATTAATTAATGTCTTATATTTTTCTTAACAGTGATAAAAAAAAATAATAAAAGTAGAAAGATTAAATAGATAGTTAATATAACAATTTTTTCCAATATAAATTTGACAAGTAATTTTTTTTTTTTTAAAAAAGAAAAGAAAAACACACATACCATTCATCCAATTTTTTTCTGGTTGAAAATGAAACGCTGTTCTTTGCCAATAGAACATGGCATTTGTCCAATTATATGAATCCTTTTGGAAAAGAGGTGGATTGGACTTGGCTGAAACTCCTTGAGCAACCCCTCTAGGCAATTCTGACTTGTTGGAGATGTTAGAAAATGGGGTAGTTTCTGGGGTGTTGTTCTCCAACTTCTCCAAGGAATTTTGGCTCTGGTTTATGATGATTGCCAACAATGACATTAAGAAAACAATTGAGCCAAATATCACAAAGATACCCTTTAATGGTTTATGGCTATTGTGCACTCTTGATTGCAGATTCAGCAAGGGGGTATTTAGAGCATGATCAAGTTCAGAAGTGATAATAGTATGAGAAGGATTGGCCTCCATGTTTTGGCTTAGTTTATAGTGTGTTACTCGTAGACTTTGAGTCTTGTAGTTTTAAAAAGAAAAGGAAAATGATGCTTCACTAGAAGGTGGAGAATGGCAGGTGTAGAGCTACCGTTACAACCAACAACGAGGTCTAGGGAAGTTGGATTGGAATGGTGGTTCCCATATAATTGGAGAGAAGGTAAATGAATGCATGTTATGGAGGATATAAATGTTGTGATAGACCAAACAGTGGTAGCTCAGTTGGCGCATGGGAACTAAGTAGGTGGGGTAAGAGTATGTGTTCGGATTTCTTCAGTACCACCTTTGGGAGGGGTTTAAAGCTTTAATTCTGGATCCACCCCGAATCAGATTAATTGCGAAGCAATGAACCGATTGGAATATTTCAAAAAAAAATGTTGTGATAGTAGCCATTGTGTTTTGAGATTTGCTCACGGATAAATTTAATATAAATTTATTAATAATTATAAAGGTACATAATATTTTGTGCGGAAAATAATAATTCAATATTTATTTTTAAGTTAAATAAGTAAGATAAGCTAAGTTTGCTAATGACCAAACTGATAAAGAGTCATTTATACAAAAAAAAATGATAAAGAGTCACAATCAAGATTTTTAATTGTAGTTAATGCAGTCACAATCAGCGTTTGATAATTGATGATCACAATTTAAAACACTAGTAACACTTGAAAATCCTAGTGGACCAAAGACAAGAAGAACAAAGTACTCCAAGAAAATTGGCTCTTTCACCAGTTTGGGACTTTTCCCATTTAAATGTACGAATTTGGTACGTGGATGAGAGTAATTACGTTTTGGGATCAATAAATGCCGCGGGGAAACTCATCGTATCTAAATTACACCCAGGGATCCCCGCGGCACTCATGTGAATTTTTTTTTCTCCTAGGGCAGTGCAGCCCATCTTCCCCCACAGCACTCAAATACTTTTTTTTTGATTAAATAAGTGCCGCCCACCACCCCATACGACACTAATATAATATTTATTTTTACTACGTAAGTGCCGCCCCTCCCCCATTACGGCACTAATTTTTATTTTTTTAAACCCAATTTGTATTTGTTCTGAACACTTGCGAAATAAACGAAGTTGGAGACCATCGTCCCCCAATTTGTCATTGTCGGCGAGCTGGAGACTGAGAAGAACACCTACAGGTTGAGGCGAGCTGGAGACCGAGAAGAACACTTACAGGTTGATTTCATCATCACAGACACCATTTACAAGGTTCTCCTCTAATCTGGTGGTGCCACTGTACAACTTCGTTTATTCCGCCACCGTTCGTCAGAACCATTGTTCATTGGAGCCACATTCGCCGTCAACCACCAAATCCTCTATCACCTCAGATTTGGGTTTACAGGAAAAACGTTTTTGACTTCAAAAGCAGAGTAGTGAGTCTCTATCACAGATTCACAGGTACGCGTTTTCTTGCTACTGTTATGCGTTTGAAATCCTTGCTTGTAATTTCCAAAAAAAAATAAAAAAATCCTTGCTTGTTTTGCCCAATTAGCTTACCTTATGGTAATAGAGCAGATTTTAAATAAGACGATTGTAACTACTATATTAATGCTGATTGGAAATGGGGAAATAAGTTAAAAATACAACTGTAGTGAGGAAATGATTCCTTAAGGGCATGTTTGGTATGATGTATAAGGCCTGATAGTATAAGCTTATACTATACGTTATGACATTTTTAGTTGTTTGGTGTGACCATCGTATAGTATAAGTTTATACAGCAGGATCCCTTTATACATCAAAATGATGTATAACTTAATCAAGCCTAAAGGGGTAGGATTAGGCCTAATAAGGGGTTGATGTATTAATGTTGCTCAAAAGTACAATTCCCAAGAACTAATATATCATTTCAATATTAATATATTAAAATAGAATAGTTTTTTTTAATATATTAATTTTTAAAATATTGGACGATATTATCTTATACAATATCATACCAAACGCAGGATAGTATTAAAATTTAATCAGGTCTTGTACAATCAGGTCTTATACTATCTGGCCTTATTCTATACTATGCACCAAACGTGTCCTAAATGAAATGCATTTGTAACACCCCGTAGTACTCCGGTAGTTAACATCCATAATATTTAGCATACACAACGAAAGATTTTAATTTAAATAATAATAAAACATCTTATAAAAATATGAGTAAACTTTTTCCAAAATATTTTCTAAAACATTTTCAAGCGTTCATCTGATATATTGCATTAGCGTAACATTAACGTCTAAGTCTACTAATTAAAACCATTGGCCATATCAATTGACCGTTGACCATCCGGATATAACCTTAAGTATCATTCCTTACGGAGTTTCGCGGACAGCATAACGACTGTAATTCGGATAACTATCTGATAGATACAATAATTAAACAGATAGCTCGCAAATCCAAATAACTGAATACATACATCAAGGCTATATAAATTTCAAAACGTCAAAGCATCAGTAAATAATCCATGGCTCCAATACTACAGTCATGAGCCAAAGTAAATACATAACATAATCTCAACATAAGATAATTGGACATGTTAATGATTATACATGTTATCACAGAGTCTAGTCATAATATAAATAATTAGCAGCATCATCAACTACTCCAAGGCGGGGGCCTTGCCTCTAGAAGCATCATCGCTACTCTGAGTACCTGAAATGATGTCCCCAAACGGGGTGAGATAACCACATCTCAGTAAACTCAAAGTTCTTAGAGAATCTTCTAATCCCCTGAGCCCACTTCTTGTATGACAAGTCAGATATAAAGCATATATAACAAACATACAGCATAAACATAGCATCATCATATCATCCTTGTGTAACCCCAGGGTCATAGCCATAGACGATTACACATGTGTGACTCAAGGGTCAAGCCATAGACAGTCAATATAACCTCTGTATAAAATAGCTCCCAGAGTCAAGTCATAGGCAGCCTACATACCTTAATCACTGGCCAGGATCCTCATAACATATATTATCAGTGCATCATCATAACATCAAGATCATATAACATCTATATGAATGTGAATGAATGCACATATATAGTATACCACATACTTTCATACAATATAACCATAATGCCCACAATCATGGCGGGGCCACAAGAGAGAGGAGCAACCAGAACCAGGAGCTTACCTCACTGAGCTTATCAAGCCCAACTCCAATATTATACGTATGCTCCAATACAATCCTCAAGTGCAAGGTTCTCTAGGCACACCTAGAGTAGGAATCATTCACATCATTAATTACATAGTAATTAATCAAGTCACATACAAGACTTAACCATTTAATGATTTCACTTTCCATACTTATATGCCAATAATATGCCCTTTACAAGTCTAGACCAATTATTATATAATAACGTATTTTTGTGCATTATTACCTTCAACTTCAATCTTCAATCACTTACATAACTTAGAATCACACTCTAGGCTTACTTAGGTAACTTAGATTATTTTCACTCATCCAAGCCATATATATACTTATTATAAGTTACTAAGGGGTTCTTATAAGCCCACTTAGCTTAAATCTCACTTTTACGGTTTTCTCGTATCTATACATGCTTCTGTTTTCAAGTCACTGTGCACAAATCACTGGTTATAAAATTCTCATATTTTAGTATGTTAATCCAGACTCAATTATCTTTCCAACAAGGTATCACACACCTTAATCAGAGCTATATAGCTCAAGTTATGATTTTTGAAAGTTCAACTCACAAATCTGTTTTTAGGCAGTGCAGGGAATCCCAACATCCCTCACTGTTTTCGTCCCTGTGAGAGTTTCAGAAGTCTGATCTCTCTCAAATTTTAATATGTTGTAGTAGACACCTTTAGATTTAATTTGAGGTATCATAAGCTTAATTTTAGTAAGTAATAAGAGAGATATGAATTTTACAAGTTGGACCTTTAGAATTGTCCCTGCACTATGCGAGTTTGGGAAGTTTGGACTCAAATTCACTTTCTGGACAAGTCACAACACATAATACTTTCAAATTTTAGGACAATATAAATGACATCTGTAGCTTTAAAATGAGGTATCATGAGTCTCATTTGACCAAGGGATGAGGGAGATATCACCCTCCCAAGTTAGGGTATAAACTAAGATTTTTAAGCTTATTTCATTGTCCTTTCTTTAACTAATTAGTCCCAACACTTTTTTAATCTACTAATCCATGAATACCTTATTTTTAACATAACTAATCCACCTTATACTCAAGAGATCAGAATCATCATGTGTCTCTTTTATGGTTCAAGTTCATCCTTTTCTATGAAATCCATACAAGGATCCAAAGGTTATACCTTTACACATCAATCAACCATTTCTTGGTTCAACACTCACACCTTTAGCTCCAAGCTTCACTTTTTACCAACAAGGGTGATCCTTTAAACAAGAACACACCTTCAAAAATATGCTCATGAGTTAGAGCTCAAGAACACAAGAGAGAAAGATAAAATTTTTCAAAAGAAGCTTAGAAAACTTACACAAAACTCAAGAGAATTAAGCACACAAGTGATAATCTTCAAGAGAACTCAAGAACACAACTCCATAACTCCTTGAACCTTCAAAGTCATGGCTGTTAATGAGGATATTGACCACAAAAATTTGCTTCACACCATGAAAATGGCATGGTTGTGAAGAGGTGAGTGAGGAGAGCAAGTTTGGTGAAGGAAAATTGGTGATTTGAAGAGGTTTTGGAGGAGAGGTTCTAAAGAGAAGTTAGAGAAAAGGTTGAAGCTCCAATGTTAGAAACAAGACTACACTTACTAGCTTTTCTTAGTTCCTTTAAGGCTGTCATGATTTTAGAGGAAATAAAAAATGAAAATGTTTGGACATCAACAATGAAAACCAATGACCATATAGCTAGGATTTGTCCAATTTGCTTACTTCCAGTTTGTTAACTTTCTTAATCACTATATCATTCTCTTTCAATTGATTCCCTCCCACTTATATTTATTGGTCTGATCATTAACTAAAGGAAGAGGAGACA